ATCTGGTGAAATAGTGGAGGGAGATTCAGTGACTCTGAGCTGCAGCAGTGATTCAAACCCACCTGCAGAAATCAGCTGGTTTAAAAGAGGAATGTTTGTAGGATCTGGAAGAATCTACAGCATCTCAAACATCAGCTCTGATCACAGTGGAGAATACAAGTGCAAGTCTAGATATGAAAATATAGAGAAAGACTCTGATGCTGTGACTTTAAATGTCAAGTGTGAGTTAATGATCATCTGCACCTTGTTCAACATTTCCAAATTCACAATTTACTAATATTTATTGTGAATTTTAATTTTTGTCCTTTTTAGACCCTCCAAAGAATGTCTCAGTGATTCAAACCCTCCTGCTCTGAACTTCAGCTGGTTTAAGGAGAATCAAAGCTCAGCTGTTGGATCTGGACAGAGTTTCAGTGCACTACAGAGTGGACGCTTCTACTGTGAGGCTCACAATCAACATGGATCTCAGAGATCAGACGCTGTTACTGTCATTGTACATGGTGTGTATCAATCGGAGTTATTCTGTTATTAGACAAGCATTTCTGCTACTGATATTCTCTAAGAAAAAAAGAAAATGTGATGCAAATATCAAGAATTATAATATCAATTTATAAAAATATAAAATAAGTTTACTGTTATTTTATGACTGTACTTATAAAATCCCCTAAAGTAAGTGATGTTTGGAGTTTTAGGTCCAATGTAATTTAATGTTTTCATTCCATTCTGTTATTATAGGTTAAAGGCACATCAATAATAAAAGAAAAAAAATTAATTCGCAAACTCCTCTATAAACATGGTATTAATGTAGTTCACTCGCTAAAAACAGGATTCTCACAGATTATTTCATGTTTTGTTTATTTTGATTTGGACATAATTGAAAGTGGTAATATCTGAGAGGGTGAGCTGATTTCATTATAACAAGTCTGTCCATTACCAGCACTTGGATGGATCAAAGACCCTTTCAAGAAAAGTTAGTTCACATGGCGGCCATCTTTGCAACACCTCCGAGCAGCTGCATCGTGGATATCCAAGTCTTCATTACATGAATGGAAAAATCCTGAAATCTCAAAAACTGTTTGCCAAGCTCACATTTAAATAACATAATTCAAACCTTCAACACAGTAATGCGATGACTTTACCAATTGGTGATTGGCTCTTTCATTTAGATGGCGGGACTTATTATGACATATTTCGCATTACACTTTCTCCCATAGTAATATGAGTGAACCATCTTGTTAAAGTCTTTGAACCGGTTCAGTCTGATTGCGAGCATAATAGGTGGTTGTTATCGCAATGAAATAATAATCAGCAAATCATAGCTGGCAAGAGAACACGATAGGCAGGCATTATTTTATTGACAAGGTAATGAGCCAATCAATGCACTGTTGAGGTTTCGCTTTCTCTCACATGATCTCACGATTCACTTCACATTCACCTCAATGAATGCACTTTCCATTGGTGTCATTGTAGGACAATGCTATTCTACGAAATTGGGTGTTATTTGATTTAGTAATAATTGTATTTTGTAATATTTGTTTGTATATTGTCAATTGCACCAAATTGTGTTTGAGGAGGCATTGTAATGTCGCAAAATCTTTGACTATGAAGATAAACATTGTGCTGAAATGCAGGCGTCCTACTGCTGTACACACTGTCCTACTGCTGTTTTGTTTTGTCATTGTGTATAATGATCAAAACATTGTCCTGTCACTCGTCTTGTTGTAGGAAGAAAGTTTCTGTATGCAGTTGCTGGGGTCACTGGTGGATTGGGAGGTTTCATTTTCATTTTCATCATCGTGCTGCTCATGTAAGTTCATCCTGTCTGTCGGAAAACACATTAGTATACAAAACGTACTCGGTTACTAACGTAACCTCAGTTCCCTGAGATACGAGAACGAGTACTGCGTCTTGCTTAACACGCTATGGGGAAAACTAATTTTTCTCCAAATACTGAAGCCTTTCAATAACGCAGTGTAACTGCACGGCCATTGGTTTGTGCAGTGTATTAAAAACGATCCAATGGCTCGGCAGCGGAGCTGCATGAGCCTATGGCGACACAGCCCGCCAGAGCCCGCCAAAATGGGCGGGGCATCTGGCTATATAAGCGGGCACTTCGCCATCGGATCCTCAAGTTACTTCGACTGAAGCGACGACTGTGTCATGCAGCTACATAGCATGGCCAGCAACGCAGTACTCGTTCCCGTATCTCAGGGAACCGAGGTTACATTAGTAACCGAGTACATTCCCTATCGATACTTCACTCATACTGCGTCTTGCTTAAGACGCTATGGGGAACCAGTACAATCCCTCCATGCTATGCTAGAGGAACGACTAATGCTTGAACTTGCCTTGAGCACCAAGTATTTTGCAGGGAAGCCCCGCAGGAGGCGATAGGGCCAAACTCACAGAGGTCGGCCCGGCACTGAGTAATCGTTCCAAGATAAATTGTACAGCCTCGGAACCCAGTGGGGGCCAAGAGCGTACAGTGAAGAAGGCAAACGCCTGAAGCACTGGTTTTGCCATATGGCCAGAGTAAGTCCGTTTAAGCAGAAAGGACCCAAGCCTGTAAGGCCGGGACATCCAGATAATAAAACCTGGTAAATGTGGACGGTGAGGCCCAGCTGGCCGCCTCACAAATTTCTGCAATGGACACACCGCTAGACCAAGCCCAGGAAGAGGCAACGCCTCTAGTTGAGTACTGAAGCGACGACTGAGTCGTGCAGCTACATAGCATGGCCAGCAACGCAGTACTCGTTCCCGTATCTCAGGGAACCGAGGTTACATTAGTAACCGAGTACATTCCCTATCGATACTTCACTCATACTGCGTCTTGCTTAAGACGCTATGGGGAACCAGTACAATCCCTCCATGCTATGCTAGAGGAACGACTAATGCTTGAACTTGCCTTGAGCACCAAGTATTTTGCAGGGAAGCCCCGCAGGAGGCGATAGGGCCAAACTCACAGAGGTCGGCCCGGCACTGAGTAATCGTTCCAAAATAAATTGTACAGCCTCGGAACCCAGTGGGGGCCAAGAGTGTACAGTGAAGAAGGCAAAAGCCTGAAGCACTGGTTTTGCCATAAGGCCAGAGTAAGTCCATTTAAGCAGAAAGGACCCGAGCCTGTAAGGCCAGAACATCCAGATTATAAAACCTGGTAAATGTGGACGGCGAGGCCCAGCCGGCCACCGCACACATTTCTGCAATGGACACTCCGCTAGACAAAGCCCAGGAAGAGGCAACACCTCTTGTTGAGTGGGCTCTTACTCCCATGGGGCATTGTAGGTCCAAAGAAAAGTACGCTCGCTTGATAGCGTAAATTATCCATTTGAAAATGCACCACAAGGCTGGCCATGGATCTGCCGATTGCCTGAGCAGTCATTTTCGTGGTGTGCAAAGCCAAGTCGGTCGCACTGAGCAGCTCCTTGAAAGCTGCGGGGTCAGGTCCAGATTCTTCCATATTCTGGAGAAGTTTGGCCTGAAGGACCTGTTGGACTGCCATAGAGTGAAGCACCGAGACCTCTTGTCCAGCAGACGAGTAGGCCCTTCCAGTGAGCGCTGAAGTCATCCTACACGGCTTGGATGGGTGGGCGGCCTTTGCCTTCCAGCCAATGGCCGTGGGCGGGCAGAGATGCGTGGCCACTTACTCATCCAGGGGAGGCAGTTTGTCATACCCTTTCTCTTTGGTGCCGTTGACCGTTGTGAGGGCGGACGAAGAGGAGGCACGCAGGCGGGCCGAGTAAGGGGCGTACCAAGATCTAGTGATCTCATCATGGACCTCTGGGAAGAATGGTGAAGTTTCAGTGCACTACAGAGTGGACGCTTCTACTGTGAGGCTCACAATCAACATGGATCTCAGAGATCAGACGCTGTTACTGTCACTGTTATAGGTAAATCAGTTTGACACAAAAATAATGATAGTGCAAGTTTTGAAACTCATTAATATAAATCAGTTTGTGGTAAGGTTGCTAGAGAACCTAGTTGGACTGTCCATTCTTGTGAAATGCTTCCAATTAATATTCATGAGTCAAAACATCTGCTCACATGTTTTTCCCCCATAATTATTAGAGTAGTAGAACATTTGCTGCTCTCAGAGACAATATCAGAATTGAAATATCAACAATTTAACATTAAAGTAAACTTTTTTAAATAATTTGTGCATAATTGTTTAAGCAATTATAGTTAATGGACTGAAATATGCTATTCAAAAAAATTAATAGCACAAAGCAAAATATAGGTTAGTGCAATTTTTAATGCAAGATTGCCATCAAACATTTTCAATTTTTTTTCAGATAATAAAAACATTGTTTATATTCCTATGCAGACATTATATCATATTTTAGTTATCTTTTTTTTCTGTTTTAGGTGGACATAATACAGTCCTGTATGCAGCTGTTGTGATTGCAGTCGGATGTGGAGTTTTATTTCTTATCTGCATCATCATGTTCATGAGGTGAGATCTTTGGTTTTATGTTTCGCATTGGTGTACTCATTCATAATTAATAATGTGTGTTTGTGTTTACATGTTTATCTCTGCTCTACAGGAAGAGAAAAGGAGTCAGGCAAATGCAGGTCAGAACATGCAGTGTAGAAATTTCCATCCATCTTCAAAGTGAAATTACACGCTGAAATTAGTTTTGGTTTCTTTCTCCAGGTTCAACAGCCTTCCAGCTCTGACAGAAACCACTTTGATGATGGTCTGTATGCCAGAGTTTCAGCCAATAGAACCGATCAGACCGCAGGAAAAACTCCTGAATCCACAGATACTGAGAAGATCAAGTACACAACCATCCAGCACATCAGAAACAATGAAAGCAAGTATGAGAATCTGAGAATGCACCATCCTAATTCTTAAAGTGTCACATGATCTTCAGAAATCATTCTAATATGCTGATTTATTATTAGAATTATCAACAGTTGTGCTGCCAAATATTTTTTGGGAAACTGCGATACTTTTTCAGGATTCTTTGATGAATAAAATGTTAAAAAGAATGGCATTTATTCAAATTATAAGTCTCTTCTAACATTATAAATCTTTGCTATCACTTCTTAACAATTTAACACATCCTTGCTGAATAAAAGTTTTAATTTCTTTCAAAAAAAGAAAGAATAAAAATGTACTGACTCCAAACTTTTGAACTGTAGTGTATATTGTTAGAAAATATCATTTTGAATGCACAGAGATACCGTGACGAGATCCTGAGGCCCATTGTTGTGACATTCATCCACGACCATCACCTCATGTTGCAGCATGATAATGCACGGCCCCATGTTGCAAGGATCTGTACACAATTCCTGGAAGCTGAAAATATTCAGAAAAAAGTTCAGCCAACAGTCCGTGACGTCTGAGGCTCAGACTAACGGAAGAGTGACTAAGGCACACATGTAACATCGAGACTGCAATTCATGGAAAATTACAAAACATGCTATTAACAGAAAGTGTCTCAACAGGCATTTAAATGCAGCTATGCTGTAACTTCCCACACAGACACACCAAACCACAGTCTTAAAAAATCTAGGTACAATTACGTAAATAACCACCACTGAAATTCTACTAGTTTGTGGCATATACTGTGTATATATATATATATATATATATATATATATATGCGTACTTAATTAATGTAGGCTATTGGTATATTTTAAGATTTAAATAAAGTTTAAATGTGTTTGGTGATGTTCTAATGATATCTGACATTAGAGATACATCCAAATCACATCTGATGGTGAATTCTTGTTGACATGGTTTTGATCTGTACATCAGCTTGACACAGTACGGTTTCACCTCATCAACACCGATGACATGATGTCGAGATACTTTTCTTCATTTTATACATTTAAACAGAAAAAAATGGATGTTCGATGTCCATTATTTTCCTAACAACGTGATGTGATCGCACAGCTTTTATGAGGCAGAGAAAACTCTTTTGCGCACGTTCAAGACCAGGTCAGTTCTCACAAAGTACAATAACTTTAATTTTATCGCACGCTTTAAAGCTAGATGGCTTCTAATTGGCTGTCAGTGTTTTTATCATTCATCATTTGGGGAAAAAAATTATCCCAACAGTGACATGCTGTGCATTTCACACCTAGGCCTTCAGCGTGTCCTACCTGAATTAATCCACCTCTTAATACCATCTTTATGACACCACGGCTATATTAGACACCATCAATATTATACAGAAATGCAGTATAACAGCATTATACAGCATTAATGCAGTATAATCACAGACACATCTCATCTCGCAGGAAGTGAAAAGCAGAACGGATGAGATGGAGGAAAGTCCGTACTGTACTGGTTTAGACACTACTACAAGAGAAAGGCATAAACAGAAAATCACAACATATGTTGGACATGATCCTAATGCTATGAAGAGGAGCGATTTTTTCAACTAAATTGGAATGCTTGCCTGCCATTGAGGCGGTGGATATAGGCTAAGCAACTAACCCTGACATAACCCACATTTATATGAGGCATGCGGGATATATGTCACTCCTGAAACTTTGCTGCATGTACAGTACAGGGTATGTGGCCGCTGGTCCTGTTAGCAGCACGTAAAACAAAACTTTTATTCAAACTGAATTGATTATAGCCTAGAAAGTGAGCAAATAGCACTTCCATATAATCACTAAAAAGCTGTCACTCACTCCAATTTATCACAATCTCACATTGTTCTGTTATAATCAATGAAGCTCTCTAAACTGCACGTTTAATATCTTGTTTACATCGTGTCTGCGTGTGGCGTTTAGCATTGAGTGAATTCTGACTGTCTCATGCTTGAATGGTGAGATTTGGCAGCCCTGTATCTTTTTATGTATTTCTTTATTAATATATTATTAATATATTACTATATTAACCATTTGCACATGAGAGCATTAGCCGACTCGGCTTCTCCCGACCGCAGACGCAGGTTTACAAGACACTTTTTCCTGCGTTTTTGAGTCAATTTCTTGCCTTTTCTCCCCTTATGAACAACAACATTTTCGTACACGATAAAAAGCTCCTTGTGGTTTCTTGGTTTGACCGATTTGAGCATCCATAAACAACGCAAAACATCCCAGCAAGCAATTTTGCGTTTAAAAGACGTCTATTAGACGTCTAAATATAGCCTAGACGTCTAGGCTAAAGCCATCGATCATGACGTCACACTCCTGTTTTTATAGCATGAAATAACGAACTAAAGCAAGCTTATTTATAAAACGAGCACTTGAACTTACATCAGCAAAAAAAATAATATTTGAAAGAAGTCTTTAGTTTGTCCCACTTCCTATTCAACATGGAGAGGGCGAGGTTTATGACCACCTGGGGGCGATCAAAACGATTTGGCTTTACTTTTCAGGACTTGTGTGGCACACTTGGGGAAAACGCATTTTCAGTAAATCTATACAGTGATGCACTTACCTATACTGTCCAGCAGGGCGCACTGTAGTCTATCGTAGAATCGTATTTGAGCGCAGGCTTTAGTTTCTCTCCTCTCAGCTGCTCTCCAGCCGACGGCCGGTCACACTGACCCCGGACAGCAGAGACTCGTGTGCCGCAGTGGGTGTTGGGTGTCCGGTGCTGGGGTGTGTGTGTCAGAGCTGTTGGGTGTCTCGAGGGTCAGGCCAGCGTGATAGCCCTTAAAAATCGCGTTCGGGGGATAAAATACACATGTTTTGGCGGGGATCCCCTGGTAAAAATTCGGTCGCATTCCATGCGCTAAATATCACGTTATTGGGGTCGTTTCAACCCCTGGACATGAAAAACCGCGGCAACAGTGTTAAAGTAGCCCAATTCCGTGGGCGGTCACTTGGCAACACTGCAATGAAGTTACAAACTTCCTTACATTAAAAATAAGGTGAGTACACAAACATCTTTCAAGGGTTATAGGCCACACACACACAAAACGTTGTGCAAACCAATAGTGATGCCTCAATATAGAAATTATTTTCAATAATTTTAGATTTTTTTATTTTTTTTCTAGTCGAACGTGTTGCATTGTGGGATATGGTATTCCATGCAGTGCAGTTGTGTACTGCACTTTTTGACAAATGGTCATCAAAGTACGTCGTTAATACAGAAAATATGTGTACTCCGCTCAATAGCCTACATAGTTATTATCACAGAAATATGATAGTAGGCTATACTGTTCTGCATATACTGTCACGTTAAGTCAACCTATTTGCCTACCGTAGCTGTCTCTGCATATTAAAATTGGGATACAAAACGTTGTTTAATTGAAAACATATTAACACCATAAAATAAACAGGCTGATACTGATACATCAATCATGAAATGGTTTGTAGATAAGCATGACTTTAAATCACAATCGGCTGTCATTGGTTTTCCTTGCATTAAGACTGAACAGCAGTTCTGTTTAAAGGGGCCATTTTCTTTAAAATAAGAAGCACCGATGAATTGTGTATTACAATACCAGTGCATTTCTTAACCCAACAAACACAGAACGTTCCTCTAGCGTTCTCATGTGGCTGTTTTTGGGAACCAAATAGCCTAATAACATTTTTGCAACATCTCTGTTGGTTATTTTTTTTAATCCAGAAAATAACCTTCACAGAATGTTCGAGGAACCTAGAATTGTCTAGGAAGAAATAATAATTAATAGATATAATAAATGCACATAATTATTCATTTACCGTATTTTCTCAAGGCTTGTTCAACATTTAATTTCATACTTAATGTTTTTAAACCGCTGTACTCAAGGGGGCGCTAGAGTTTCCTTCAAATACCTGTGTCATTAAACCAGATGTGTTATCATTACAGCTAGCTATATATCAACATGTTTATCTAACCTGCTTTATTAGGGTTAGATGCATAATTTATTAAACCAAATGACGGCAGTTGATCTGAAAGAAAACAGACCTGTTTCCTCAAAATCCTGTTATAAAGGTGTTCAGGTAACATACTTTTAGCAATGAAATCAGGCTTGTGTTTCTGAAAGCGCTTGTGTTCACATGATAAAATGAACATTTCACAATGTTCTCCACAGTTGGGCAGTTTGTAGAAAACACCCAGCAACACAAACACAAGAAACATGAAAATGACACCATGATGTTTCCATTAGGAGTGTTTTATTCCAGACTCGTTCTGAGTCCAAGGAACAGAAACTCAACAATCACACACAGCATTAACACGTTATCCCCACAAACTCACTCATGAACACAGTCCAGACGTCAGTCAGAAGAATTGACCGCTCAATAACTATAAACAAAGCTTTAAACAAAAGCAGCGTTCATCGTCTCGCAGCAGCACACGCGTGCAGGCAAGAGCTCATGATACACACACACACACACACACTCACTCACTCACTCACACTCACACACACACTCACTCACACACACACACACACACACACACACACACACACACACACACACACACACACACACACACACACACACACACACACACACACACACACACACACACACACACACATTACGACACACTTTCTCTGTATCACTTTCAAACGTATGAAATCAGGCAACAAGAACAGACAGAAACAAACAAACACAACTTCTGTCCATAACCAAGAACCGCAACTTAAGGGAGGATTGATGACAGAGATCCATCCATCTGGACCCACTGAAAAACCTGCCAAAACACACCCAGGCCTCATTTCACCCCAAAATCAACACAAATCAAGAAATATTTTGGAAAAAAATCCAAAAATAAATTGTGCCATTATTCTCAGGACAATTTTTTTATTACAGTAATATGAAAAAAATATTATTTAAATTCAGCACTACAAATAGAGCCATTATATACAACTATTTCACTATTTAAATACAATGTTATTGTTTTTTTCCCCCCTCACTTTATTATAATTCTAACATTATGACAGTTTTGGTTCACAGAACATACATTATTAAGTTTTGTTTAAATATGTTTAATTATTATTCACAAATCAAGCTTAATAATAATTGTAATAATAATATTAATAATATAATTTATAATAATAATAATTATTATTATTATATCAACAAAGATAAAGTCAATTAAATATTGAAATAAGTGAAATATTCATACATAATGGCATAATTTACAGTATTGAATTTAAATTTAATTTATGCTGATTAAAGAACAGTATTACTGCTAAATTTAAACATTTGACAGTAATAAATCTAAACAAACCCCAGCTGAAAATTATGAATTATAAATTAAAATAAAAACGGAATAAATAAATCAATAAAAAAAGTGTCTGGATGAAATGCAGTAATGAGAAATTTGGAGGGGCAATGTGTTTAATTATTATTAAAATCATGTAAACTGGTTCTAAAATAATTCTAATTTCATTTACAAGCATCCTAAATATAGTTTCTTATTTATTTCTTTGGATTTTGGGATAAAATGTGACCCGGACCGAGGCATGAACAAAAAAAGCATGCATGTTTTGATGAGATTCAGCCAGAGTCCTGTAACGCCAGCAGAGGTCTGTCTGTGCGTCTCTCAGTCTGTGTCTATGTGGCAGGGGTTTGTCCCCGCGTCCAGAGCCGCTCGGTACAGTCTGATGAAGTCTCTATAGAGAGCAGCACATCGCAGCCATGCTTCCTGGAACCGCACCGCGCCTGTGAAGAGGAGCTCGCCCTGTGCTGCTCGCGGGCCGCAGCGCCGCGGTATCTTCACACGACCCGTCCACCGGCCGCGCCCGCGCCCCCCGCCGCCGAACACGAACACACGGCTCTTCTGACTGTACACGTGACTCAACGACAACACCACTGACGCCTGATCTTCATCCTCCTCCTCCTCCTCCTCCATGTGATGAATACTGCCGCGCACCACTGAGAGAAAGAGCAGCAGCAGTGACGGAGATTTACCACGACTTACAGAATAAAAGTCACAATCTTTAACATCTGAAATGTGACCATGGACCACACCATGTCCACACCAGTCATAAGTGTCAATTTTTGAATAAATAAGCTTTCCATTGATGTATGGTTTGTTATGATAGGACAATATTTGGCTGAGATACAACTATTTAAAAATCTGGAATCTGAGGGTGCAAAAAAATCAAGATTTTAAAGAAAATCATCTTTAAAGTTGTTCAAATGAAGTTCTTAGCAATGCATATTACTAATCGAAAATTAAGTTTTGATATATTTACAGTAGGAAATTTACAAAATATCTTCATGGAACATGATCTTTACTTAATTTCCTAATGATTTTTGGCATAAAAGAAAAATGTATAATTTTGACCCATACAATGTATTGTTGGCTATTGCTACAAATATACCCCAGCGACTTGACTTACTGCTTTTGTGCTCCAGGCTCACATATGTGCTGCAGCTTATATAACACAATTAACATCAAGCAGGCAAAACATGCATGAAGTATTTTCTTTTTAATTAACCTATTTTCCAAAATACAAGTTGTATTTTTTTAATCGTCTGAAATGTGCTTCACATTATATTCCAACGCGACATCTATAATGCAATTAAAGTCAAGCATGCAAAACATGCGCAAATAATTTTTTTCCTTGTAATTACCCTATTTTCCAAAATATAAGCTGTTTTTTTCTTCATCTGAAACGTGCTGCAATTTATTTTTCAAAGCTTTTATAATGAAATCAATATGAAGCATGCAAAACATGTTTTTTTTTATTATTACCCCGTTTTTGGAATATGTCACATTTTTTATAATTTGAAACATGCGGCGACTTATTCTCCAAAGCAACTTATATAATGCAATTAATGTCAAGCACACAAAACATAAAATACATGTCTATAGTAATGTTATTAACCTGTATTTTACATTATTTATGAATGGAGTAAAAATGTGACTTTACCACTTATGCAACTTATTTTGCTACTTTTTTTCTCTCAACAATGAGACTGTGTGACTTATAGTCAGGTGTGACTTATTTTCTGGAAAATACATCATGACTTCACAGGAGTTTAATAATAGGGCAAATAAGAGTTTAAAACAGTAAGAAGCAGGTGGATCTTACCGAAGTCGCTGGTGCAGATCGCCATCAGCAGCTCATCATCAGCACAGGGCCTGCATGCAGCTAAAACACACACACACACTCACACACACACACACACACATGAACACACACACACACACGAACACATGAACGAACACACACACACACACACACACACACACATGAACACACACACACACACGAACACATGAACGAACACACACACACACACACACACACACACATGAACACACACACACAC